ATATGGATTTATTAGGCTTTAGAATCAAATTTTAAATACGACTCTTGTTATTAATGACTTTATTAGAGTCTGTGATTAATACCCTATATTTATAATGATTTTTTTTCTTTGTATGCTCTGGCCTTGCCTTTTGGGCGCTGCTGCATAAAACCCGGGTGCGGTTTTTACACTCCAAATATTCAATTACGCCGCGGGCGGTCTTCGCCGGGTCCGATTATTGCCCGGAACCCGTTCCCGTGCCCGTTCCTGTGCCCGTTCCTGTGCCCGTTCCCGTGCCCGTTCCTGTGCCCCTTTCCCCGGATTGAAATAAATCAGGGACTGGGAATCCGAGCTCTCACAGAACAGAGCTCAGGAATCGAAAGTCTCAGACGGAGTCGGAGCTGGGGAGCTGGGCGTCGCAGTGCTCTGTTGACACTTGAGCTCAGGCGGTGGTATTTAATATGCGGCTCAACATTCTTTTCAACCCGCTACGTATTTTTTAGCGACTGCTGTGAAAATGATGAAAAAATCGCCCGCCGACAAACGACAAACGTCAAGTGTCAGAGAGCAAAAAAAAAAAAAAAAAATTCAGGATGGTTCACTAAATACCCTAGAAAAAGATTTATTATGATGAATTAATGGGAATACTTTAAGTTCAAAAATATATTATAACAAAATTTAGTTTATTATTTTTTATTTAATAAAAAATAATAGGGTTTTTTTTCTATTTCCCAAAATCACTCTCAAATATTTGTTAAAGTAGTAAAATCTCTTTTTTGTTTGCACGATTCCAGGGTATCAGTAGACAAAGGCTTTGAAACTCTTGCCCTGGCTTTGGATGATGTGATTTTCTGATGCATTGAAGCGCGCTCCACATCCCGCCCAGAAAGTGTGATGGAGAAGATGAAGCGGGGTCCAGGAGTGACAGGGCAAAGTGCGCAGCAAACTTCCTGCTGATTGCTTAATTGACAAAGAGCATATGCGATGCATGAATGAATATATGAATATATATATGTATATACCCGAACCAGACCCAGCCCCATCACATATATGTCATTGTTGGTGGCCATAAGCTGCTCCCATCGTCATCGCCATCGCCATCGCCATCGCCATTGCCATCGCATGGGCGTCCAAAAACGCTGAAAATGCATTAGCGAGGAGTCCGATTCTCTCCTCACTTCTTGAGCCCCCCTTTTGGCCGAAGATTAAAATCTAAAAACTGTCAATTAGAGCACACATTTTTCCTCATCAAAATGCGAGTAACAACAAGAAAGATATATATTCTGGGGGATCTAGGCGACTTGGTATACTCTTTTTTTTAAATGCAAAAGGGGTTTTTGAAAGCAGAGTTTAGAGCTATTTGAAAAACCAAAGGTATATCTATCTTTTAATAAGATAAGTATTTAAGAAAGCATTTAAGAGACTTGTTTTAAAAAAAGGATCTTGGAGAGAAGATTTATAGCAAAAAATTTAAGAGTTATTGGAAAAATTTAAGTAATATTTCACTCTTCTCATAAGATATTATTATTTTGAAGCTACATATTGTAACTAAAATCTAATTAAACTATTTCTTGATAAAATATAATATATTATATATATCAGGGTATTTAAGAAACGTAAAGGTACCTTTGCCAGCCGCCAAAGACTTGGGGGCCCAGCTTAAGCCGCTGCTGCTGCTGCTGCTCCCTCCCTTCCGAAAATCCCCGTAAGAGCTCCCCTCCCCTCCCTTTGGAAGAGCCCCGCTTCTGTGCTCATTTTCAGTCCATCAATGTGACGGCGTCCCACGTCCAACATCCAACATTCAGCGCGCTCCCTGGTGGCCAGTGGCGGCCGCCAGGTTCGGACTTGGATCTGGGGACTGGACCACACTAAGTCCACGGCCAGTTCTCTGTCGCTCTATCTCTGTCTGTTTCTCGGAGAGATACTTTATAGCTTTGTCTCGCCCTGTACCGGGCCTGGCTTTCCCTTTGGTTTGGGTTTCCATCGCTCGGTTGTCAGGGCACTCGGAATTCATTGACATATTTCTTGGCATTTCATTTGTGCCTCGCCAACTTCGATTGCGCGCTATCGGTACAGTTGTGATTCGATAGGAGAAACTATCGAAACCCGGGGGCTTATAATTCCCAACTGGTTGTGGAGGAGTTGGTCTTGAAAATGGAATGAAGTGATGGGAATTCAATAGATAACTAAGTAAATACATTACAGCTGTTATTTAAACACTTAATGTTTATTAAAAAATTATAATTTCAAAAAATATATCATTTATAAAAACAAAATGTTTAAAAATAAATTTCCATTTGCCTTTAGGCTTTCCTAACTTGTATAAACTGTTATCTTCTTAGATATTAATACATATTCTAAAGAATCTTCCCTGTAACCCCCTAGTCTTAAGTCTCCTTTCCTTCCTTTCTGTGTATATCGAAACGAGAGACTTATAATTCCCAACTGGTTGTGGTGAGGAGTTGGTCTTGGAAAAGAAGTTAAGTGATGGAAATTCAACAGAAACCTAAATAAATACTTTAAAAATTATTTAAATAGTTTATTTGCTTCTGCACTTAAGTTTTATTAATAATTATTAATTATTAAATTATAAATAAATTAATGAAAAATGTTTAAAAATTATAGAAAATATAAGAAATATCTCCCATTTGCTTTTAGGTTTCCCCAACTTGTATAATTGTAATCTTCCAAGATTTGTATATACATTTTAGGGAATCTCCCCTGTAAACCCCCTAGTCTTTAGTCCCTTTTCCTCCCTTTCTGTATATAGTGTCTTGCCATCCCTTTTCGTTGCCTATGTCTTAAGAGCCTGGCATTTGTGTTCTTTTAATTTACTTCTTTTAGTTTCTTCTCGGTCCGAGAGAGGGTTTTGAATTACAGCACAAGATGGCCACACCCTCTGGGTTCCGGCTCCCTTATCTCCCTTGGACCCCCTACCCCCTCGTTGTTCCACCTCCCCCATTCTTATATTGTGAGCCACAAAGTACAAGTAAATACATTTATTTAGTTCGATCCAAACGTCAACGTCAACATCTTCTTCTTATTATTTCCCTTGGTCTTCTATCCCTCCCCCTTCCCCTTTCCCCACCGCTTTTCCGCTTTTCCTTTTCTTATTATTATGTGGCCCCCATGTTGTTGGTCATCGTCTGGGCGGGCAGACAATGAAGGAAGAGCTTAAAAATAATACCTTGCCTGCTTATGTTGACGTTTTCATCCCCTCCCGCCCTGTCGTCCGGTCACCTGTTAGCCACCTGAAGCATAGTTACAGCGACATTATAAGATCCCCAGTCCCCCGTTTGCACTGAAAATAAAAGGGGAATTTAATTGAAACACCAAAAATATATCAGATATTTTTTAGCTTAAATTTAGCACCTTGTTTTTTTTGTTGAATTTTCAAAAATATAGCTTTTAAAGCTTTTAAAAAAATATCTTTTAATTATAAATATATTTCTTATAGTTCTAGTAAATATATTTAAAAATTCATTTAACATATTTTTCTCTCTGTGTGGTGAGATACCCGCTCTCCTGGCCAAATGCCAAGTGTTAAGGCCCACAGCAAGTGCTTCACTTTATTTTTCAAGCCCCTCACGAACCCCCCGCAGAAACCCCAAAAGGCCCTGAAGAAGGGGGAGAGCCTTCTGGAAAGCCTCCTACTCCTCCTCTTGCTCCTTCTCCTCCTCTTACCCCTCCTCCTGAATCCCCTTGCCCGGCCTAATGAGAAATGGTGGGCCAGAGCTGAAGAGCCAGGCTAATTGGAGTCTTAGTTTCCATCGCCGCCTCCGCTTGAATTCAGAGGAAAGGATCAAGGGTCAGGGATCCTGAAAAGTGGCGGAAAGTTATAATAAAGTGAGGCTTGAATTTATTTATTTTAGTTTTAAATAACATATAATAATTTTTATATATCTTAAAAGAAAAAACCAGAAACAGGCTTAATAAATACGTAAGGGAAAACTCGTACTTCTTTAAGACTTTTTCAGCAACTCTGTAAATAATATTTATATAATTTAATAGCTATTAAAACATAATTTTTAGTTTAAATATTCACCAAAAATCACTCTTATAATAAAAAATATTACTTAAAAATATTCGAATTAAGAACTAGAGCTAAATAAGTATTAAAAATGTCTTAATATTTCTGTACTTACTATTTATTATAAATATTTTACTACAACCTTGCTCCTAAAATACTCTCTATAATAATGTATAATAAATTTAAATTAAATAAATTAACAAACTCTTCCCCCTTTTAATTATTTAATGACTCGCCTAGACTCTGCCATTTTCAAAGACCTCAAAAAAACAAAAAAGGTAAAATGAACAACATATTGAATTACCAGATATTGCCTAATTGAAATGTTTGCTCTATTTTGGCCTCAAATGGTTTTTGACACTCGCGCGACTTCCATTTCGGGGACTCTATAGATTCCAGATCCCAGATCCCAGATCGCTTATCGCGCCCAAGTGAGAAGTGTCAATGCAAGGACTGTCCCCTGCCCCAAAGATTGCTATTTAAAAAAAATCTATACATATATGTACATATAAGCCAAGACAATGGGCCCAAAAATGATCCCAACAATATACATATATATGTATATATATATCGATCATGTCGCCATCGGCAGCACACAAAACATCAACACAATGGATGCCACAATATCGGGAAAGGGAGGGACAGATGAGTCCCGACACAGCCGAGTCCTCGGGCTTGAGTGCACTTTTCTGAAAGCCGATCCCCTGATTGACAGTTCCAAAACCTCAGGCTGCAACGGAGCAGCAGCAGCAGCAGGCAATCAGGAGATCAGGGAATCACTCTGAAATTGGAACTATCACCTATCGCCAAACAAAGGGGCAAACTTTTGTCTCGGGTGTTGATTGGCTTTGATAAAAAATAGAAGAAAGAATGGAATGCGAGGCGGGTTTTAGGGAAAGTAATGCCTCTTTCAGACCTAACATTATATTTGGTTTTAATTAAAGAATACGAATTAATATGAATATTAATATTTGAAACAAGCAACCCATCATTCTACTGTCTGTCAAAAAAACCAAATTTGTATTTCGTTCAGTTTGAAATTGACTTTTTTGGTTGACTTTATTCCGCACGTGAACAATGAGCCAACGCTTTTATTTGCTACTCGAGCTGCTGTATGGAGTCGCGCTCCTGACAGCCATTGCCGCTGCTCCCGACATCGAGATAAAGCTACGCCCCAGATACGATGAAAAGCTCAGCATTACATATGACTTACGGATCACATATGGCTTCCCGGACATAGGGACCACCATTATCAAGGCCCTGCTGGTGACCTTCCTGGCCATGATGCCCACGGTGACGATGCTGCCCCAACGCCTCACCAAGTGGCGTCTCTTCAAGTTCGTGCCCCTGGCTCCCTGGATACTTATGTGCTGTGTAAAGTTCCCCCAGCATGTCATCAGGCATATATTTACGATCCGCCATACGGCTGAATACATGAACACCTTTCCATTGAGCATGGTTTTGGCCATATACATCATATTCTTCGTAATGGCCATTGAGTTGGCTTGGCATTGGATTGTCTATGCGCACATGTGCATTTCTGGGTATGTTATGGTAAAGTAAGTGGTACCCTGCTTTCTTCGCAGATCAGAAATTGAATACTTATTGTCTTTCACTAGGAATAGGATCTTCTGACTTGACCTCTCGTATTCCTTCGCAGCCAGGATATAATTTGGGATGCTAAATTCAAACAAAAATATATATTTAATAATTAAATACGAGCTAAATAAATAGAGACTACTATTTGGAAACAGACATACAGAGTGGTTCAATTTTACTATTGATATTTAACAACTAAAAGATTTGTTTGTAGAGCTTCCTGTCTGTTGCCTTTCTCTTACACCTACCCAGCAGACAAAGTAGTTGCCCTTAAGCGGGTGAATACGAAAAATGTCCGCTAAAGATATTAAATACGGACAAAGAATCGGACTTTTCCGCATTAGTTTCGCTAAATGCTTAAAAACAGACGCGCAAACGGACGAAAAGCGGACGAGTACTCAGAATTCTCAGGATTATACCCGCCAAAGAACCGTAAAAGGTCCGAAAATGAGAGCATTTGCTGTCACAAAACCCATGACAGGTGATAAACTTTATTATCGTTTATGTCCGCAAAATTATCGTTTTAATATCATAAACGAACGTTTTTGTCTGCTGTGTAGATATACATACATACATCAGTTGACAACTTGCTTGATTAGCATCAAGTGCCACACAAAGTGACTGTAATAACTAATAAATAATAATTGCTCAAATAAATCACATGCACATAGTACTTTAATCAATGCAAACGCGATGCTTAGCAAACAACTCAATTAGCAAACAGTAAATGCTTTACTGAAAAATGTCATTAATTAGATTCCATTATTGTTATTATTATTGTTATTATTGTAAAACCAGCCTTTGGCATGAGGCATTATCCTGTACCCACCCCACCCCCCTTTCCTATTTGCTTAAATATAAAATCCCTGAAAAAAATGTTGACATATGCATCTAACTTGAACGCTGAGCGGAACATTAACAACATTAACATTTTGACTTGGCTTGGCAGATAAGTACCCCCACCTCCACCCACTTCCCGTCCCCCAAACCCTTCTCCCTGGTTGCGGGTGATTGCTTTGATTATGGCTAAATGATGACTGCGGCCCGGGAGATGCTGCGAGTTAATGCCAACACCTAGCAACGCAATCTTGAAGCTGTTGGCCCGAGGGGAGGCTGATGCTGCTGCTGCTGCGTAGCAAATGGAAATGGAAAATAGGCAGTGGAAAATGGTATATGGTAACATGTTCTCGAATTAGTTACCCCGATTTAATCAGCCGGCAAAACTCCGTCGCAACAGTTGTTCCAGCTTGAGATGTGTTGCAGCTGCAATATATATCCCCTATTTTTAAACAAATTCAAAATTTTGTACATTTTTTAAGTAGCTATTAGTACTGGTAATTAGATGTGCATAAATTAACTAAGCTTGTAGTTTACTTTTACTTTTCTTAAGCTTAAATATATTTTTAAATCTATAATAAAATGTATTAAATGCCCTTTAAATATGTTTTTTTAGCAATATTTATTATTATATTTATCAAATAAATTATAAAATATAGCAAAATATATTTAAATTTAAATTTATTTAAGGAATAAGCATAGTTTGTGTGTTTATTTAATTCATCATAAATTTTCCTATAAACCAATAATTATATTAACTTTAACTAAAAGCAATTTAAACTATTTTTAAATAGGACATATATTTTATTATTAATTTTCATTATTTAAATTACATTTTAGAAATTTTTAAAGGTTTTTTTTTTGTAATTAGTTATTATATGCTTTTTATTTTTCTATTATTGTTATTATTTAAAGTAGATTTTAGTTTAAAAATAAATATATAATATATATTTTCTACTTGTTATTGTGACTGACTTCATATTTTGTTGATTTTATATTTTATTATCCTTTTAAATTAAACCTGGCTCCTGTGGCCGACGCTCAGGCTGTTGTTGCATGTTGCAGTTGCAGTTGCCAGTTTCCCGCAAGAATTTTCCTTTGTTGCTCTCCTTCCTTTTTGGTATTAAAACACGCGGCGCTGCTTTATTACAATTGTGAAAACCTCACTCTTGTTGATTTTTCCAGCATTTTCCGGCTGCAGTGTCGCCGTGTCGTCTCCTTTATAGTAGTTGCAGTTGTCACGGTAACTTTATCGTCCTTCCCTCCTTCGCTTAGCCCATTGACAATGGAAGTCGTTGTCGGTTCTTGGCAAAAAAAAAAAAAAAAAAAGAAAAACAACTTTGAGCCTCCCTGAAGGAGCCCGAATGTTTAACAAAAACCATCTACTATCTAGGATTTTTAGTATATTTCACTTGAATACATACAAAGGTGATGCTTAGGCAGCTTGCAGTTCAGTTGGGACGTTGCCTATCTATTTATTAAATAAATATTAATTTTATATTATGATTAATGTAATTTTAAACCAGATAAACTTATTTATTGGCGTCTATAACATCGGACTTGATAATTTACCAAGTAATTATGATTTAAATAATATTAACACTTGCTTTCTAGCTATAACTGCTTTGTAATTATGCTTTTGGCATCAATGATCTTTGTGCTTTTTTCATATAAAAGTCAACGTTTCATTCTGTTCCTTTTCAAAATGCTTTTTAATATTACTATTACTACATATTACTACTATTATTAATATTTTAATATACTTTATTTAGGTTTTATCCTGGCAGAAGAAAGTGGGCACTGCAAGTCCTACTTTTTCCCAGCAATTCCTGCTTCTTCCCTGCAACTTCTGCTTTTTTCCTGCATTTGTTTGTAGTTTCTGCTGGTTGCTGGTTGCTTTGGTTGCCACAGTGCTTAATTGAGCATATGCCAATTAGCATAAGGACGAAGCGGGTGAGATCCTGGCTGCTTCCAGGGGGGTTGCTTGCATAGAGTTCGAGGGGGTACCCATTGGCTCATATCCGTCGAAGGCCTATTTATCGACATCATTATCGTCATTTGTTTGCTCAGCAATAAAGCATTTTGATTTATTTTTTTAAGCTAACTAGATTCGATTTTTAGGCATTATAAAAATAAAATATTATTTGTTATTGAAATGGTAAGTAATGTATTGTGGAAAATTGAATATTTGAAGGGGAAAAATCATCTTTACCGTTAATAAAATAATTTCAAGAGTCAAAATATTAAGTAGAAAAATCATTAATAATATTTAACTTTCTAGTTATTTATTAATTTTATGTAAATATAATATTTGCTTTTAAAAAGTATTTTTTTATATTATTTACTCTTATAGAAGGGTTCAAAAATATATAGATTTAAGCATTTGTTTTAAATTATATTGACTTAAGCCTTGCTTTTAGACACGTTTCCCCTTTAAATCTATGCATCTTTAAACACACATTTTCTTTCGGTGCATTAAAAATTTTCCATTTTGACTTTGCGCCCTTATTAAAAGGGGGTTGGGCCGTGGGATATATGTATGTAACATATAGATAGCTCTATATATATTTATATATGATGTTGCTGCTTGACTACCGTTGAGGACTCGGCAGTGGGAGCGTTTTTATGGCCACCCTCCTCATCAGCTCCTCTGTGCTCCGATGTTGCTGCATTTAATTAATTTAAAAGCGTGTGGATAATACCCTGGCATTTGCAATGAAAAGTCAAATGAATTGAAAACTGAAAATGCTTAATGCTCGAAAGTAGCTGCACACAGATGGGTACACACACACAGGTAATACAGGTATGTACGTTCGTACATCAACAACAAGTTGTGTCTTACCTTGGTGTTGTTTTAATCAGCAAATTACCCGAGAGCAAAAAAAGCAAAAACGAAAAGCATAAAGCAGAAAGCGACAACAAAGCCAGGCCAAAATTAAAACAATAAACAAAGGAAAATAATAATCAGAATAATAATAATAAGACGAAATAATAATAACAGCGAAAATCTGCTCATTTTTCATACGATTTTATTTTCTTTTGGTGCTTGTTTGCTTTTTATGCTGCCTCCTCTTGACTTTTGTTAGTAATTCTGCTGTATTTAACGTTAACTTTTGAGTGTGTGAAGCTTAGTCGGTTTTTAGGGAACTTCTGTATAATTTAAGGTCAAATTTAATTCAATTTAAAGTTCCTGGTTAATACTCTTCTACTGTGGCTGTATCTCGTGGATCAAGGCAATGCTCGTTGGCATCTGATGGATAAAAACTGGGCATTTTTGGAGCATATATCCCAAACCCATTAATTTTTACTCTAATTGCCTTAGTCCCTCAATTAATCCAAAACAAACAAAGTAAAATCTGATGGCCAGCAGGAACAGGACACACACACACACAGAATAAAAGCGACAGGAAAATGTTTGAAGTCAACTGAAAATTTTGTTGCCAAATGGAATCAGTGGGGGGGATTTCGGCATATATAGTCCAACATCGATGCGAGGCTCTGATGAACACCTCCCATCTAGAAACATGCATATATGCGACCTCTTAAACCCTAATGCCTGCCTGCACTCGACACTTTTCACTTTAATACTCTCTTTTTATCAGGCAGAGCAGATAAAACTTAAAGATTTATATATATTTTATATATATTTATATATATTTACAGTATTATTTACGAAGAAGAATTCTAACAAAAAGAATTCAACACAAAAGGGTTTAAGAAAAAGAATTCTCCTATAAGAATTCATTGAAGAGAATTAAATTAATTAACTTAAGTATTACAAAAATATTAGAGAAAATGTATAGATAGAAAATTAATAAAACAAGGCTAAGAACAAGAATTCAATAAAAAATATTCAAGATAGACAATTCAATAAGAAGAATTCCAATAACTTAATTTGCAAAGAAGAGTTTGAGGAGAAGAATTCGAGAAAGTATATTAAATAAGAATTCGAAAATGAGATTTCGAGAAAGAGAATTCTCTCGAATTTGTGAAAAAAACCTTCCAAAAGAAGAATTTGAGAGAGATATTTCTTGTAAAAGAATTCTAGAGAAGAGTTCGAGAAATAATTTTAAGATAGAGTTCGAGAAAATGATAGACTTCGAGAAAAAGAGTTCAAAAGTATTTTTAAATAAAAATACAATAAGATTTTAAGAGTTCCTAAATGAAAATACGAGGAGATTTCAAGAAAAGTTCGAGAAGAATTCTCAAATAAAAATCCAAGATGATTTCCAAAAGAAAATTCGATTAGAAGCTTTTGATAATATTCAAAAAATTCGATAAGAAAAATTCGTTTGTCGGTTGAATAATTCACTACTGATTTTCTCTCCGTGCAACTGTGCGTGTGTATACATACACATATCCCTATCCCTCCTTTTGGTCATTCCCTCCCTATTTTGTTCCACTTCCATCCATTCCCCTATGCCCCTGCCCACCCTTTCCTGCCATCGCCCCCTTGTGTCTTCGTCTCCTTTTTCCAGCATTTCAGGCTGCTTGATTTTGATTTCAACGTTAGTTAGTTAGTTCGTTATCTCTGGTGCCGTTATACTCGGTCTCGTACCAACAACCCCTACTCGCTACGAACTCAACCCAACCCTTCCCTACCCTACCCTGCCCAGCACTACCCCCCATTCCATCCTTCTCCACGATTGGGAAAAAGCACCGAGTTTTATGTACAATATTTGGGCTACCTAGACGGGCGGCAAAAAGGGGGGAAATTGGGGAGCTTATGTACCAAAAAAAAGGGGGTTGAACGACAGCAGTCGGCGTAAAAGGGGGCGGGGGTGGCTTGATTGGCGTTGCCTGTTTCGCCAAATGAAAAGAAAAATTTTTGCCAGCAAATGAAGAAGGAAAAAACATACTACATATCACGAAGCGTAAGAAAAATGCTTGGAAAAGAGGGAAAAACAGCCGAGCATAAAATCAAACCCCCCGCCTCCAAAACGGCAAAAAGAAGAAAAGAAAAATGCTCCCCCATGCAACCCCAAAAACAACGGTAAAACTGGGGTGAGGGGGAGGCAAAGGGAAGAAGAGGGATGGGCGGGGGGCAGAGCTGAGGGAAGTTAACGTGGAAGGCGGAAAGAAGGAATTGTGACTTTGAAGTGCGAGAGGCGAAAAATGTTGTTGACGGTGGCTTTTCGGATCCACAAAAAAGGCGGAAGGAGCATGGAACCAGGGGGCGGGCAAAAAGGAAGAGGGAGTGCGCGAGTGGGTGGCGGTGGGCGGCCAAGAGGAGGCAACGAAACATTAATGTAAGCAACGCAAACGCAAAGCCAAACAAACACATGCAACAAAAAGAGACACGCACACACACACACTAGCGCATATAATGGTATGTGATACACTGTTAACCCATACGCTCGTCTCGCTCGCACATCAACCACTGCAATGGCGACAATTTAACGGTAAGGCAGCGTTGGCTGCGTCGACGTCGCCGCTGGCGTTGGCGTTGGCGACATTGTGAACGCCTTTCACGCCCGAGCGAGATGGCAACACAGAGGGAAAAGAGGAACGCAAGTGGATGGCTTTCGCCTTTGGCCCGGTTACGTGTGTGGAAGCCATTCGATGGGAACAGTTTGTTAAGGGAAGAGTTTTGCGTAAATTGGTTCTTGGCTTATAAATAAGGTTTATTTAAAAGAGAGCCAGTTTTACTTAATAGTTTAAGTGCAACTTAATTTTAATATCTATATTTAAGTGCAATTTTATGTTATTTTAAATTTGAGACTATTATTAAGGAGAACAGTTGGGTTTTTTAAGTTTGAATAAACACATCGTGTATTTCGGTATCCAAAAAAATCAAAACAAATAGTTGTGCCTGTTTCCAAATCGTAGTTTTATTTTATCGGCATCGTAATTAACAATTAACCATATTTTTTTTTTAATTTAGCATCCCAAATTGTAGCCTGGCTTCTATGGGATACATGATATCTGGAAAAGGGCTGCCCACGTGATCACCTTTAATACTTGATCGTTACCAGGACAAACCCAGCGATGCACATGCGGGCATAGACCATCCAGTGAATCGCCATCTCTATGGCCATTCCGAAGAGTATGAAGTATATCATCAGGCCCAAGACCAAGGGAGTGGAGTCCATGTATTTGGTATTGCCGATCGTAAACATATACATGCCGACATGCTGGGGGAACTTGAAACAGCAGATAAGTATCCAGGGGGCCAGGGGCAGGTACTTGAAGAGACGCCACTGAGTAAGGGATCTGGGCAGCTTCATCAACGTTGGCACCATGGCCAAGGCGGTCAGCAGCAGGGCCTTGATCATAGTGGCCTTTAGGTCCGGGAAGCGATAGGAGACGCTCTGCACGGCTTTGTAGTTCAGGCGTAGCTTTATCTCAATGTCGGGAGCAGCGGCAATGGCTGTCAGGAGTAGGGCTCCATACATCAGCTCGTTTACCATATGGATACGCACATGGTCCATTGTTCAGTTGCGGTTTGGAGTTTGAATTTGAAGCAGAACAAATTATTAAAATATTTGTTATTCGCGTATGACTTGTTATGTTACTGTCTCTGACTGTAATGACTATTTAAATCGATGTTTTTTTGGCAGACAGTAGAATAATGGGTTGCTTGATTTGGAAATATATTCTTTTGATTTGTAGTTCTTATTAAATTATTCCTCAATCATTTGATAGATAGTTAGGTAAAGATTATCAATGATTAAAATACAAAAATCCACCAAGTTAGCTTACTTTCCTTTTATTTGTTACTAATATTATACGAGTTTGTAAATTTTATTATTATATATTTTTTTTGTATATTGTTGTTCAAGAAAAATATCAAAGTTTAAACGTTTTTATGCCCTTACTGGGTAAGTTTAGTCTTAAATTAAAAAAAAAAATAATAAAATTTAGTAATGGAGTCATTTCCGAGCCCATAAATCATGAATATGCTGGATCAGCATCAACAGCCGCATCGTTTTAGCCATTTTTTTTTTTTAATTATCAAAAATTAAGACAAAATTTCGATTTTCTAAAATAAAAATCCATATGCAGGATTTTTAAGCTTATCAAAACTAACTAGGAACAGCTTTGTGAGTGAAATTTATAAATTTTTAACTAAGTTAGGATATTTTAAAATATCCTAGGTATAGATTTAAAAAATGCAAATATTTTAGATCTTTTGTAACGCATTATATGCACATATTTTGTGTTTATTATAAAAATTACTTAAATTAATTAAGCAAACAAATGTATAATTAGGAATAGGTTCATCTTAAAATGCTTGAAAAAATGCTGATGTTCTTCAAGAAATGAAATTAAATAAATATATACATTAATAAATACATTTTCAAATTTGTAAAAATAAATTTATAAATAATATTTATATTTAAATAATAATTAGTAAAATAATTATTTTGATATAACCTTCTTGGGAAAGGTTAAGCCGGCTTCAACTGGGCTTGGCTACTGTCTCTATCTATATAGCTGTGGAGTTATTTCAAGGAGCCACCTCTGCCTCTGTTTTTTTACGCCTTTAAAGGAGTATCCCCACCCATGTCCGAGTTTATATATATATTTATTTGGTGGCCTCTTCCCTTAACGAACTCTTCTTGTCAGCTGGCCTGGGGGACTCGCCTCGCCTCGCCTTGCCTCGCTCTGCCTCGCTCTGCCTTTGTTGTCCGGCTGCAAGTAAGTGTATTTATATGGTGGAAATGTAAAAAACCGAAATTTATGCAATGACAGTGTCAGATCAGTTCAGATGAGCTCTTCACGGAGGGCAGGAACAGCGACAGGGGACAGGGGACAGGGTGAACTGCATTATTTATCGCCTGGCAACGGCGAGTCATTTAAATATTGTATTTTAAAAACAATAATAAATTCGGTGTGCTGTTGCTGTAAAAATAACATAAAATCGCATAAATAATTCAACTTAAATCGCAGTGTGTGTGTGTGTGCGAGTGTGTATATTATGCATATCTGGTGTGTAATATTGTCGGTTTTCGAGTTCCATCTTTTGTTGTGGGGCCATTTTTCAACACAAGTAGCACATTCCAAGCCAAACAAATCCCCAATCGATCGGTGTGTATGTATGGGGGATAATATCTGAATGCAGCCACCGAATTTCCGAGTCTCTTTTTCTCTCTCTCCTCAAGACACATTTCTTATATTAATTAATCAAATTAGGCTTAACCCATTGTTGGGGTACCGATGGGCTTCCATCAGTGAAGAGCAAACGAAGAGTCGTAGAAACACAGTGGAATTATTATTCAGATTTACAGATGAATAAAAAATATATATATATATATTTTTTTATATATTAAAGCTCTTATTTTGAGTGTAATTCATTTGTTATAATTAAAATATAATTATTTGTAGATATTTTTAAAAGCTTTAAAGTCAACTTCTTGGCCTTACTTAATCTGATAGAATATTAAAAATTAAAATTCTTACTTATAAACAGTCCTTTCGAAAGACGTATTTGGATTTTTTCTATATAATTTTTCTATATTTTTATAATTACTAGAGCGAATATTATTAAGTCCTTATAGATTTGGTTTAAGTAAAGCCCTTAGTCCCTTAATAAATATCCAAGTTTCTTCGTTTTAAGTACAAATATTCTTTGAATTTACAACTATAAATTCAAATTTAAAAATTTTATTTTAAAGAAACTCATTTTACACAAAAGAAAGCAGAGCTTAGTGATTTATTTTTATATATTTATGATATAAAGGTTTTAGTTTCTGCAATTTATATAATTAATATTTAAGTAAATATATTAAAACAATACAGGAAAAGTTAGTATAACTATAATATAACCCTTTTTCTATGTCATCACTAAAAAATAAGAATTAATTAAACAAAAATCTAAAAGAAATCTAAAAAAAAGTCTTATGACTAGTATACAGAGTCACAATATTAAAATAATATATATATATTTTATTTAAATATCGTTTGAAATGAAAGCACCTTAGCCTTTTGTTTAGGCCAATTTTAGATCGGAGAGAGACTTTATTCTTTTGCAAAAATTCTGTGTCAAGATTTAAGCATTGCTTTGAAATATATTTAATTTGTTAAAACTTCTAGAAATTCCCTTTCTCCCTCCCCTCACCCCCTTTTACAATTCTCACTCGGTTTTGGCCAATTTGTCAGGCTTCGATCAGGCCACGATCCGTTAACATCAAAAACGTTAAAAGAGAACCCATCATTGGACGCATATTAATTAGCAGCTTAATTGTGCTTTTTGTCCATCCATTTTTATATAGTATTGGCGAAATTTTCCATCTCCAGCTTTTTGTTTCCAGCTCAATTAATCAGTGTTGTGCCAGTCAGGGACAAAAAGTGCCAAAATGGAAGATTTCCCCTATGAAATTTCGACTAATTAGCATAAGTTTCTGCCGCCGATCGGCTGGGCACTTCAAAGAGACGGAAGCCGGGTTCGTGTTCAACCTGCCAAGTAGAACCAGGACGTTTTTCCAGCAGGGGTTTTCCGGCTCTCCACCCCGGCGGCTTTCACACGGAGACGGGGGAGTCACGGGATAAGAATCAAAATAAACACACACGCCGCACATTATCGGGCAAGTGCAGTTGCGAGGAGTGAAATGGGGTGGCTGCACTGCTAGAAAAAATTATGGAAAACATTACAAAAGAGATATATTGAAGAAAATATATAATTTAATATTTTTAATATATAAATAAATATATTAATATCTTATAAATTTATAGCTGCAAATTCTAGTGCAAAGCCAGCGCTAAATGTTCTTCCAGAAACTGTAAATATATTTTTTTATCCACAAAATATTCCATTTAAAGTCTGAGCTTTTTTTAAGTGTATTTTCTACTTTAAAAAATCTAATAATATAAATTATACTTACAAATAGATTTATGAGATTTATTGGAAATTTTCCAAATTATTGCCACAACTTACTAGGGTCTTTCTCTCACTGCAAGGACAGTGGCTGCTGGTTGTCAGGACCTCAGGCTTCCTCTCTCCCTCCATTAGTCGAGAAGCCAAGCCGAAAAATTAAGTTGATAAATAAAATGAAATGCCAAAAAGGCAGCCAAGCCACCGCCGCCCAGCGTGAAAGATGAAAACATTGGCGGGCGGTTGCTTCGATTGGTATCGGGATCGGTTCTGCCCAGGCTCTTCTAGTCTCTCGCCAGTCTCCTGCTTTCAAAGGACTTTGTATGGGATCAGGACAGCAGGACAGGTCACGTGTCCTTCAGTCAAATCAACCGCCGACAGGCGGCCAAACATCAACAAAGAGGCTGCGGTTTGGAGGTAGAAATATTTTAGAAAATATCTGCAAATCGTATTTTATATATTTATGATTAAAGTATAAATGTTAAAGCATAGTTTTTATAGTAAATATACACTAAAAATGGTACTTGATAGTAATAAACAAATGTAGGTCTCATGGTTTATATTTCCTCCAATTAAAAGCCTTGAATTTCTTTGTAGAATAATACAGCCATAACATCTCTGCCTTTGTTCTCGCTCTAGATATTATCTGTAGAGCTGCCTCGCCAACTCGTGGCAGTGTCAGATACGCAGATACTTATCTTAAAAATAATTGGCAGTTTTTCGGGCGAGGTATCCAAGTATCTATGTATCTCTGTCTCTATGTAAATCATTATATCAGTATCTTAGCATCTCAATATCTCAGTAGCTCAGTACCTATGAATCTCAGTTTGTAAGTATGTATATCGGTATCTCAGTATCTTTGTATCTCAAAATAAAAATATCTCGGTATCTTTGTATCTCAGAATAAAAATATCTCTGTATCTATGTATCTCAGAAAAAAAAGTATCTTAGTAACTATGTATCTCAGAAAAATAATATCTCAGTATCTCGGAATAAAAGTATCTTAGTATCTATGTATCTCAAAATAAAAATATCTCAGTGTCTCAGAATAAAAATATCTCTGTATCTATGTATCTCAAAATGTATCTATGTATCTCAGAATAAGAATATCTCTGTATTTATGTATCTCAGAATAAAAATATCTCTGTATCTAAGTATCTCAGAAAAGAAGTATATCAGTATCTATGTATCTCAAAATAAAAATATCTCAGTATCTCAGAATAAGAATATCTCAGTATCTATGTATCTTAGAATAAAAATATCTCTGTATCTATGTATCTCAGTATCTAAAAGTGCAGAAAATAATGAGAAACCCGCGTGCCTTGTGCAAAATTGGGTAAAACTCTCTGACTGGGCTCCCATTTTCATTTTCATTTTCATTTAATTTCATTCGTTTTCATTTTCCCTTTTCATTGGCGCTTTTCAGTTACCATTTTTTCCCCCCATTTGTATTTTCATTCCATCAGCAGCGTAGATGCTCCGCGTACTTTCCGGGCACTCTTCTTCCCCTGTAGGTTGGGGTTACGCGCCGGTAAAAGGCGCAACGGAAGATTAAAAACAATTTGCCGCCGCCGGGGGTAGTAGCATCTCAATTTGCTGGCTTCTGCCTGCCCCCCCAGGAGTCCACAACCTGCAGAGGCGAAAGCCCAAGCGATTCCTAGACCCGCAAAATGCACTCGACGAAGCCTCATAAATACCGAATTAGTTGGTAATTCTATAAGCAACACGCGCCCATTGATGACGACGACGACGACGACGACTGCCGATAAAGTTGGATAGCACGGGGTTCTCTCTGGTCCCCGGGTTCTCTGCTGAAAACTGTAAGGGAAATCGTAATGGAAATGGAAATGGGTCGCGTGTTTTGCCAGATAACAAGCGAGAGGCAAGCGAAAAAAAAAAATCGAGCTGGGGCCATTTGAGAAGTTTGGGAATCGATGTATCTGAGAGATAGCTGACTCCCGGATACGAAATCTGATTGAGCCGTAGCACGTGCCGGATGCCGGTTGGCTGGTGCGACAATTAGCCGCAAATGGCAAATGAATTTCCCAGCATTTTCATTAGCATAATTAATAGAAAATAAGAAAAGCGGCTGCCGGCAATCAGGAAGAGCTTACAATTGAGTTATTTGGAAGGCAATGCCACTTGAGGACTTAAAATAAATATGGTATTTAATAGAATATATTTAAAAATTAATTTGGATACTAATTTTCTACCAAAATGTATAACCAACATTGAGGCATAAGGTCAACGTGTATTTCTTGCAAATATTTTAGAAAATCAAAGTATTTACTAATTAAAATGATTGCTTTCCTCTTTCTTTCAATGAAATTGTACATTTTACTCGTTTTTATAGTTTTATATAGCTAAAAATGCTATATTTAGTCCCCATTTTTATTACAACTAAACTAAAGCACGCCCTAAAATATGTCTGAACTGAGTTTTGCTCCAAGAACCAGAGCCATATCTCTCTCGCGGTAGTCCTGCTCCGGGGCGTGGCAAGTTTTATGAGCTGAATTAATGGTTTATGATGATGATGGCTGCCTCGCCCTGCTTCGGAATAGAAGCTGAAATGGGAATGGGAATGGCAAGAGCTTTTTGGAGTGCCTTTTCTGCCCCTCGACCATTGTTATCGAGGCGCTGACGGGGCCCAGAGCAGGGCTCCTCTCTCTGTTGGGATCACAGCAAGTTTCCTCAGAAGCCGCTGGAAAAAAAACGAAGAAAATAATAATAATAAAAAACATCCACTGCCTGAAATCCAGAAGGCAAAAAAGGCGGACGCGTGCCCCACGGATGCCAATGAATGCGCAAACAAACACCGGAACGACGACGCACAGCGAAAATCCGAAATCGGAGAGCGATTATAGGCCGCCACAGGAATGTTCTGGTAGCCGTCGACCCAACGAAAGACCAACTTCTCGTTTTGTTTGCCAATCCAAAATTCCAAAAAAAAAAAAAAAAAGGAGAAATCCAGGGAGTTATTCATCCTTTGCAGGTCAGGTGTGCAGGCCAAATGAGAGAAGTGGGGAAACAAAAAAATATTACAAGTTTTGGTTTTACTCGGAATTCAGCTAAAGTGTTTGATTTTGAAGCGAGAATTTTTTAATGAAATAAGAGAAACAGTTTAGGCTTTTAAATCTACATCTACAAAAATTAAACAAATGCTAAAAAATTAAAAAATAAAATGTTGAAATTTTTGTTTGATGATTTTTGGAAAAGATTTAAATTATAAAATTCTATCATTACACATTAGTTTTAGTTTTCATAAGGCAAATAAATTTGCCTACTGAATTTGGTCTCTTTTAAAATAATAATATTTTTTTTGTAAATTTTTAAGGTTTTATTCCATTCTAATTTCTCTTTGTTTTGGTAATTTTTTATCAATTTAACCCCGTATAAAATTTTTAAAAAACTACAAAAATTTGCGTTCTTTAGGGCATGTCTAGAACGACTCGCCTGTTGATGCTGATCAAGAATAAACATGCATTGCAAGCTTCAGACTTGAATTTGAATATCCTGTAAGGTTATAAAACCAAATTTTCCTTTTTGTAAAACAATAAACAACCTCCAGAACCCAAATTTTCCCTGCAAAATCTAGAATAACAAAACAACCTTGTTTTTTTTTTTTTTTTTATATATATTATTCATCTGATCATATTTTTGTGAACTTTTTACAATTATTTTAGTTTTTCTTTCGGTTTTATAATTAAAAAAAAAAAAAGAATTAACCAGTTTGCTTAAACGTTAGCATATAATTATATATAATATATATATATATATATATGTATATATATATAGGGAGCATACATACACATATATAGTCATATATGCTGCATGTGTGTGTGTGTATGAACGAGTACATGTCTCTATACACTATATAGATCCGATTCTTAAATATTAATAACTAATTTTGTTTATCGCCTCCCATATTTATGCACCCTTCCTTATGCCGTCATTCATCGCGTTCTTCTTTGTTTCCATTCTCTTTCGCTTAATATTTAACCCGCGGAAAAAAAATGTTCTTAATTTTAGTGAATTATATGCTAAATATTCTTAAATTCCTCCTTACATGCGTGTGAGAGTGTGTCGTTGAGTGTGTTGTCATGTGTTTTTTAAACAAATTGTTAAGCTTAAATTACAATTAAATTGAAATTAAAACTAAACAAAAAATGCCAGAAGAACTCGCGCCATTGAACTAACTTTCTGTTTTGTCTGTTTTTTCATTCATTTTGTGATTTTAAATATTACAAAAGTTTGTTATTTATATATATATATATTTTTTTTAGCATACTTTTTATGAAAGACATTTACACTCACACATATGGGATATATGTTGTATGTATATATATATATATATATGTATATATTTACCAAGAATTTTCCATGTGTGTTTTTTTTTCGCTTTTTGTACATTTTTTAAAAATTACTTTTAAACTATTATATATAAATATGAATTTGCTGTATTTTGTTTCGCTTTTGGATTGTGGCTTGTGTGGTTTTATTTGCAATAAAATTTCCTATATATATATATATATATATATATATAGCATTGATCAAGTGTGAAGTTTATAATTTCGAGTTTTTCGCTTAAATGCTAAATCCTTTGACTTTCCCTTTTCGCTTTTCCTCTCTTTCATTATATGCTTTTAAAGTCTGAAATGTTAATTCGTTTTTAGCTGATTTGGGTTGGTTTTCTTTCTCTATATATATATATTCCCTTTTGTTATGTATAAATATTCTTGTTTTTGTTTTTTTAAGACGACAAAATGATGATTTGAACTTGAAACTTCTTTTTTTTTCTTGATTTTCCTTTGATTTTCATTAATTGTAATGTTATGTTTTTTTTTAGTTTAAAGAACTTGGAAATTGGAATTAAGTTTTAGCTTTTATGATATGCTGAGAGCTGGCCCCAACCCCCCCGGTTGCTTTGGTTCAGCTCTGTTGTAACCTTCTTGTGATTTCTTGTGGGAATAAACCTCTATATATACCCCCCTGTACCATGGCATGGTCTACATATTGCATTTAAAAATTTCTCCCTCTACCCAAACCTCTTTTTTCTTACTTAATTTAACGCCATTTATGCATTTACTTCTCCCTCTTTCTGTTGTTTTTTTTTACAAAACAAAACAAACTTGTATTTCTTTGTTTTGTTTTTTGTTTTTAGTTTTTTTTTTTTATTATTTTATCACTCATTTACTTCGTTGATCCTGGCGGCTTAAGCTAGATCTCTATAATACCTATGTTATCGATTTACGTTATCGATTAACTTGATTTTTAGTTCGATTTTTGCTCCTTTTTTTATACATGCTTTACTAAGTTTATTTTGTATATATATATATATATATATAATTATGTGTATGAAAAAAAAGATATTCTTGTTAACTACACAATAAAAAAAAAATATAAAAAAAAGAATATAAAACTAGCAGCCCTGGTTCTTCCTGGGAATCCCATTTCGGTGGCTTACCTTCCAAGTTTTTTATATATATTTTTTACACAATTAAATGTCTTTTTGATTCTCTTTTTTATATATCTTTATAGGAAAAGAAAGAGAAAAAGATATAGAAAAACTAAAATAAAGGATATATGCTTATAGAAGGAGACCTTGTCACACAGAGAAACCCAGGGCTGTGTATATATCTTGATCTGGTTTCGGGGGTAGTCCTGGCTGGGATCTGGATATGTATTCGCAGAAGCATCTAAGCTCAACCATCTCTAACCAAAGTTATGATCCAGCTGCTGATGATGATCCTCCTGTAGCTGCAGATGATGATGCTGCTGCTGATGCAAATGCTGATGCTGCTGCTGCTGTTGCTGCGGCTGTTGCTGCTGCTGTTGCTGCTGCTGCTGATGATGATGTTGCTGCTCCAGCAGCGGCGAGCTATCGCCTCCGCTGCCCCCCGAATTGGTATTGGTATTGGTGGTGCTGCCGCCGCAGTACTGCAGGAGTAGATTCTACACCATGTTCGCGTACTTATCCTGCGGCGACATGTAGTCCAGGCTGTTTTGGGAGAAGGCCTGCGCAGATACGGTCCCAGTAAAGGACGGCGACGGCGACAGGCCAAAGTTGGAGGCCGTATAGCCCGAATGGCCCATGTTGTAGTTGACCTGATTCTGGTTGCTAAAGTACTCCATCTGGGAGTAGTAGCTGGGCGCCTGGGCATAGTTGTTCGGATACTGCTGGTACTGGTTGTGCCAGAAGTTGTACGAATCGTGGTTGGACATATAGGCCGCCGAATGGGCGGCCGAATGGTGGGCGGACTGGGCCGACTGGGCGGCATGCGCCGCTGCGGCCGCCGATTGTGGCGACATGGGGGTAATCGGTGGCGATGGTGTTGTAATGCTGCTGCTGCTATCCATGGGCGTTATGTTGCCACCGGGCTGGAGCAGCCGGGGATTGCTGCCGCCCGCCGCTGAGCCGTAGATGCTGTGATGATGATGCACTCCACCGGCTCCAATATCGCCGCCGGCATCCTTCAGCTGATCGTATGGGGAACGCAGCAGATCCTGTGACACACCCACACCGCCCACACCGACGCCAACACCAACGCCGCCCAAATTGAGGCCACCAACGCCCACGCCCGAGGAGCCGGAGCTGCCGCCGACACCTGAGCCGCCGCCATAGCCGCCGGAGAGATGCTCCTTCTTGCAGACAATGCTTACCGGACTCACTGACGTGGCCGGCGTGGGCAGCAGTGGCGAGGAGTTCTGGTGTGCCGCCGTTACATTCAAAGCGGCCGCCGCTGCTGCTGCTGACAGGTGACTTCCTGCTCCTCCTCCGCCACCGCCGCCGCTGCTGCTGCTGCTGCTGTTGGGCGTGGATCCACCATTGCCGCCACCACCTCCTCCACCTCCGCCTCCGCCATTCCCGCTGCTGTTGGCCGCCGCCGCTGCTGCGGCGCTCAGGAAAGAGTTGTGATGCGATTTGAGCGATTGGGTTGCTGCCGCTGCCGCTGCATTAGCCGCCGCTGCCGCCGCCGCCGAGTTGCTGCTGCCGCTGGAAGAACCGCCTGCTCCTACGCCACCGCTGCCGCTCTGGCCCTGGCTGGACTGTGACTGGGCGTGGCTCTGCTTCTGGCCCGACTTGCTGTTGCCGGAACCGCTCTGGGAGCCATTGTTGTTGCTGCGGCTGTTGGATGAACTACTGCAGCTGCCGCCGTTGTTGCCGCTGGAGCCGCTGGAGTTCTTCGAGCTGCTCAGGCTGTTGGACTGCTGCTGCTGCTGGAGCTGCTGTCGGCACTTGGCGCGCCGGTTTTTGAACCATACCTGCAAGAAAGCGAAGCGGAAGAGGTCAGTGGGAGATTCTAATTCAAATAGGGCTTAAATTAAGCTTAAACTGTAAGTTTTTAAGCTCTTCCAACCCCAAAAAATGTATTTAGTATGTAAAAAACCAGCTGGTAGACCTACTTTTAGCCCCCAAAACACATAAATGAAATCAATCAGAGCCCCGTCGTCTTCCTTGCCACAAATTGTGTGGCTATTCAAGCAGATCATGTCTCTTACAACATTCTAAAGCTGCCGCCGTGGCAATCGGAATATAAGGTAAGTAAAATCGCAGACGGTAACAAATAAAAAACGGAACAATTTAAAATGCTTTGAAGTTTTCCCCCCCCCACATCCCACACCCCACAAGAACACCCCAGCGTTTCCTTTGAAGTTCATTAGAGGCACACGAAATCTAGTCGCTTGTCTAAATTTCTGCTAAAATTTGCAAAAAAATATATACAAATATTACAACGTTATCAGTATTATTATGCAATTTGCGAGCTCAGTTCATTAAACGGAATCAAAGTAAAGCAAATCAGGGCAGGGGCGGCGACAGCGGGGGCCCAAAGTCAAATCACAAAAGGAGATTTACGAATGCAAAATTGAATTGAAAATTGAAATTGAATTTTCAAAAGGGGCGCGCTACGGTGGTTGCTTGTGCTGACAAATAATGAAATTTGATACGCCTTGTTTAATGCTCTTTTTTTTCTGTTTGAGGGGTATGCTCGCCAGCCACCGCCCCGCCCCCCAGAAAAAACATTTTCGAAAAGGTTTTCTCCCAGTCACAGAAAACGGCAATGAAATGCTCGAGTGGCCGCAGCCACAGCCGCGTGGCAAGTGTTAACTTCGAAAAGGGGCACAAGCCTTGGGGGCAGAGTGGGTGGTTGGTAATAAATTCAACTGTTTACCAAAGCACAAGCCATTAGCAAGCAACACCAACAGCAACCCCAAAAGCAACAAATCACTGAAATAACATTTGCCATGCAATCGGTTTGAGTTTGGGTTCGGTTTTTGATTCGGTTTCGGGTTCGGTTTCGGCTTTGGGCGAGCACTGCTTTGATTTGGTTTTTGGCCAGCGTTGCCAGAACGTTAAAGTATTGAGTTGGTAACACTTGAAATACTGGGTTTGGTGCGAACAAAATTGAAATGGAAAATGGAAATTTAGATTTTCAAACATAATGTGATACTTTTTCTCAACAAAACCTTACGAAAGAATGATTTTTGGTCTAAGATTTATGGAAAATTGTGTGGAATTTTTTTTTAATATTTTATTTAAAAGGGAAACTTCATTTGTATATACTAAAAACGTCGAAAATATTTGTTTTATGTAAAAACCTATTGCAAAAACCTATAAGCTTTCTATTAACCTTGACCAGAGTTGCCAGAGTGTAAAAGTATTGAAATTAAAGCTTTAGAAACGCTTACTTTTTTATGAATAAAAGGTAAAGTTCAATATTTTACTATATATTAAAAGCTTTTTAACAATCTTAACTACATATATGCTGATATTTTTAAAAATATTAAGAAAATGCTACTTTTTATTATTTGGTATTCAATTATTCCCTCTGAAATTCCCCTAAAAGAAATTACTAAAAATTATTAAACATACCCCAACTTAATGCTAAAATTCTATATAATTTCCTATTGAAACAGCCACCTAATAAAATGAAGCCAAGGCGACTGAACTGGCACTTAGCGGATTGTTTGCAGCCCCTTAAGCATAACAAACAAGGCTAAGTGAATTCCTTGCGCTCGAGTGTGCCGCTTTATGGGCTGTTTATTGTTGTCTTCTCGTCTTCGATTCGGAAAGGGATGCGTTTTCCCAAAAAAAAAAACGAACAGGACGAGTGGGTGGTTTGGGGCGTGATTCTGTGTGACAATATAATCGAGTCAATTTTTCTGGCCGCCGCCGGCTGTTGATGTAACTTTTCCTCTCTCGCCCTCCACAGGCGCGTGACTTTTTGCACTTGTCGTCGTCGTCGTCGTATATCCTGCGTATATCCTGTACATACCAACCCTCTAGCCTTGCTCCCCGCATAATTTATTCATTGCTCGGCCCGGCAAACTAATTGATGTGGGAAAATTGCAGCCGCCGGCCATCGGCACACGCCCACTTTCACGCCCACACCTCCATGGAGGAAAATAAACAAACAGGAGGACCACGACGAGGAGGAGGACGAGCGGGAAAAGCATTAAGTAAGTGAGAGCGATAGACACTTGACTAGAGAGCAAACACACTTGAGGGAAATTGCCCAGGCAATTTTAGGTGGGAAATCCAAAGCTTTTCCAAAGATTTCCCACACTTTTATTGGCCTTAAATTTTAAAATCAAAAAGTAGGAGTTAGCTAAGTTAAATTGAAGATTAGAGAAATGTTGTACATAATTTTAAAATATTTTTAAGGGACACACAACAAATTTAATAAGCTTAGAAAAATTGTTTAACATTTTTCAATATTTTAGATATTTTGTTTTAATATTTTTTTAATAAAATTTTTATTTTTAAATTTAAAAATGTAATTTAAAAAAAGAAGCTACTCAATTTGAATTTCTTTAAATGTTTTGTTAATTTCCTTTACTGTTTTCAATGTTGCTTTTAATTATTATTAAATTTATTAATGAGTAAAATATGTTTTAAAATAAGTTATATATTCCTTAAATATTTTAAAATATTTTTATATGTATATATTGTTTATGTTTATATGCGGTTTCTGAGTGTTTTGCTTCATCTTAGCCTTTTATGCAATGTAAAGAATATTTCATAGGTATTTATTTGCTTTAAAAATTAAAATTAACATATATTTACTATCAAAAATTAAAAAAAATATTTATTTTCGCTCTAAAATAAACCAAAATTTGTATTAACTTCAGCCTTTTTTTTCATAAAACAAGTGACTGAGTGACTTTTAACTCCTTGCCTAAGAATATAAGCCCATATATGCACGGATATATATCGCTCTTAACTGCTGCATCAGCGGTTGCATTAACAAATTGAATATTATGCATAAATCCTGCACATTGCTCCATCTCTGTCTAAGCCTATACACATGTAAATATATATATATATATACTATATATTGTGCTTCACGGGGGGAAAGAGAGGGAAGGAACGAAAGAAAGGTGGCCTGGAAAAGAGTGGAAATTGTTAATCCGCAATGGGAAAATTAATTTTATAAAACAGCTGTGCGTGAGCAAAGTTTTCCCTTCTGCGCACCCATATTTCTCACTCTCCCTTTCGCCTCCTTTCTTCTCTTCTGTGTGTTTTTTTTTTTTCTTTTTTTTTCTGCTGCAGACAAATCCTTTTGCAACAAAAAAGGAATATTCAGAAAGGGGGGAAAATGGAAAACGTATAGAAAAAGAGTTGGCTAAGTTTAGGTGCCCTCTCACTCCCTCTCTGTCTGGCCTGTCTCTCTCTCTCTCTCTGTCTCTCTTTCTCTGCCTGGACCGCGTACAACCCCCGACGAAGAACAGCTGAAAGAGAGGTGAAAATATCCTGAATTCTGTCCTGAATCCATGAGGTGACAATGGGAGGGAAGGCGAACTGGTAGGGTTAAGGGGAAAATGGGTGGAAAGCCAGCTACACCATAAAAAATGTATACATACAAGATCCTATGATGGATTCTATGATATCTGACAATTATATAGTAAAAGGTAAGCTTAGAAAGCACGTAAATATATTTTTTAAAATTTTATAAAAAACTAAATAAAATTAAAATATATTTTTAAAAATATTAGATGTGCTTCCTTAAATTTCCTGCAGTGCATTTGGTTTTGGCTCTTAGTTATTAAGGATGCCAAGACTCGGAAGGGATGCTGCCTGCAATGGTTCTACTGGATTCAATACCGCCTCTACTGGTTTCCCCCCTCAGTGATTTATGACTGTGCCAAGCGATGGCAGCCGTCGTCCCTGGTGCAACCCTCCTGCCTCTGGCTACGAATTCGGATTTGGACGTCGAATGAAAACATTTGGGCGTAAATGTTTGCTCTGTTCTGGTGCAGATAAGCTGCGTAAAATTATTACGTTATTTGTATTGGTTGCAATCAACGCCCTCTCACTTAGCTGTGAATACGGCAGGGAGTTGGGGCAAGGAGGCCAAGGAGGCCAAGGAGAGCCACCCCGGGATCTGATCTCGACTGCTACTGGGCCATAAAGATGCCTATCATTCAATTAATATTTACCAGGCCAAAAGCCCCGGGACACGGGCTGAACTGATTATGACTCCGATTTCGTAGCGGGGATTCTGATTCAGCTTCTGATTTCCTCACACTCCTCGCTCTCCCTCACCCTTTTTGGAGTTTAATCATTATTTATGTGGTGACCTTTCAATGGGGATCCTGCTGCGAGGAGAGGCAGCTGGGCAAGATCCTTCGGAGGTGGTCTATGCCTGTCTTAATACATTTAGCATTTACAAAACGGTTTTTACAACAAACTTTGACTTGATATATTTATAATATCTATTTATAGTTTTTCCCAACTTAATAACCACGTCACAGGTCTAGTTTTTCCTCTTTTCTCTGGCTAATTGAGTTGCTTGGCTTCTTTTGGAATCCCAAAACACGGAACGTAACACGGAACACGGTATATCCCCCGATCTGCGAGACGAAAGCCAAAACGAAAACCAAAAGCCAGACGCCTTTGGTAGCATGCAAACGATTCGTGTTTTTCCCTCGTTTTCTTCTCTTTTTTTTTGTCGTATTTTTTGCTTGGGGTCTTGTACGGTTTTCCTGCTAGTTTTCATTGCTGTGTAATCTGATGCGTTGTGGGTGTGTAGGTTTTTAATAGGAGGTGTGCATTGACATGTTGCGTCACTCGAAAAGTCAGGCAGCACAGGCACAGTGGGTCAAATAGGTGGAGTCTGTGACTTTAATTTGGTTAAGATTAAAATTAAATTTAATTAAGGTTTACAAATATTTTTAAGCGTTTGCTTAATTTTTCTTAAAAAGTTTTAATAAGCTTTCTTTTTTATTACCACTGCTAACCAGTGTACATTTTCACCTTGTCTAGGCCCTAAAAAACACATTTCAAATAGAGACATTTCAGTAGTTGGTAGGGACAACAGAGAATATACAAAGAGAAAGAGAGAATTGAGACATGTGGAAAATCTATACAAATGTCAATTCCCTGTCCTGTCCTGTCCTGTCCTGTCTCGTCCACTAACCATCCTGTTCCTCTCGGTGTGCATTACTCGAATCGATTGTGTTAAGAACGTAACTTTTGAATAGGGAAACCATCTCGGGGCGGGGTGGGGGTAGAAAGAAGTCAATTCATGGGACATGTGCAGGATGTCCTTGCTGCAGCACTCTGCTGCTTTTGCTTCTGCTTTTCTTCATTTCTGCTTTTGCTTCCCAAACCCAAACGTGTCGTTTTTCACCGACCACTGCAGGGGCTTCCTTGGTCGCTTTTCCTCAGCTTTCCTGTTCTTTAATGTTTGTAACTGCAGTTGGTTTCTCGGTTCACTGCCTGGCCTGGCCTGGCCTGTTTTCTTTAAAGGTTTTCCCTCATTGCTGCTTTTTTTTAGGCTGAATTCCCTACAAGCTTGTTACTGCATTTTCTACGCCATTTAAAGCAAGTTTTTTGCCAACTACTTGTTTGGTTTTTCTGTAACATGTTTCTGTAAAAAAAACCCAGTTATTTTTTGTGATATATATGGTATATATTTTGTTGAAAAGTATGCCTAGTTTTTAGGGTTTCGTTAAAGCAAGTTTCTTCTTACGATTCTTAAATGCTTCTTCGCTTTTTACTGTCCCCAACTACTCACCTATTTTCTTCTAAAAGTTATTTTTAGTGTCTCCTAATCACATTTACAGATATCCTGTTAAATATTTACAATTCCCTGATTAAGACCTTAAATTGTTGTCAGTTTTTGGTGCTTCTTTGGCCTTTTGGCTACACAAGCAACTGATTTTGGCCCTGCAATGTCACGTCCTTAAATTACATGGACAAAAGGGGCCCGAAAGCAAGGGCAAAAGCAAAGCTAACAAATCGATAGATCAATGACAAATGCAGTTGCCAATAATGTTTGTTTTTCTTTCTGTGTGTTTACATTGCAGTTCCCGGGCTCAAACGATCGATTGTTGCTGCGGCTGTGTTTTCCCAAGAAATTACCAAAGAGATGACAGTTTTTCCAGCATCATCATCATCAAACCGGAAGCAACCTCGATCGTTTTTGGGCCATTTGGCAGTTTTTCAGGCCCTAGCGGCGCTAAGCAAACTTGTTTGTTTAGGCCCAAAGAGCGAGAGGGTCACCTAAACAAACACACATACAGCAAAGGTAAGGTACGATCCTGATCGGAATCTGTGTATATCCCTTGATTGAGTTGCACAATTTGCTGTCATCGTGAGCTCATCTGGTGGACGCTAAAAATTAGCGCAAATTATGCTCGACTAATGCCTTGAGCAAACTCCAGTTACGCTTCCATTTCCTAGCTCGTCCTTCGTTCTTCGTCCTTGTCCCGGAGGGGTGACTTGTCATACCCCGCAAATACTTTGAGCAAATACAAGGGATTTGGGAACGGGAAAATGGGAAATGGGAAATGGGAGCAGGGGCGTCTATTTGCATTAGAAGTCATCAAATCTGTTCGCTCCATATGTGCCATGGAGTACTACTATATCATCATCATCACCAGTATCCACCCGGCACAATCTGTTCCTTGTAATTTGTTTGTTTTATGGATTTTGATATAAAGCATTTCGTCTAATTAAACCAAACTGGGTCTTTGAATTAACAAAAAAAGCTCACATGTGCGGAAGTGAGACTTTCAGAGTCAAAAAATCAAAGGTACATAAGTCTTTGAAAGGGTTAACGAAAGAACGATAATTGAGGTTTGCTTGGCTTAATTTATTCTTATAGAATTATATATATTATTTTTTGAGCTCACCTGTACTCTGGATTCGGGCAGATTGATCTTGAGGGCCACTTCTTCGCGCATAAAGATGTCCGGGTAACGTGTCTTGCCAAAGAGTGCCTCCAAAACGTCCAGCTGGGCGCGTGTGAATGTGGTGCGTTCGCGACGCTGTTTTCTTGTGTTTACACCTAAATATTTGATAATATTTAAAAGAAATAATAAAAAAAAGAAATAAAAGAAAAGAAATATATTAGTTTAAGGTTGCCTAGAGAGAGGCAAGTGCCTGACCGAATGTGCTGAAGGTTACAAGAGATTCCAAATTAAGTATACGCCGTGTATGCGCGAGATCTGACTTTTCCCAGTAATATTTCTTTGCCCGCATAACCGTTATTTGTGTGCGAGTGTGTGTGTGTGTGAGTGTCCTTTGTGTATATGTGTGTGTGGTGGTAGCAACCCCCGAAAAATGCGACAGGCCAACCCCTAAGAGAAAAAAGGAAAACGGCAACCAACCCCCGTGCAGCAGCAGCAGCATCAGCAGCCGCCCCAAAAACTCGACTCCCTTTTCTGTCCAGTACATAAGCCGTGTGCTATATACACACACACATATATATATATATATATATATCCTTGTATATATATCTTTTGTTACTCTGTGAGTGTGTGTGCTGCGTACTAAGCCGCCGCATTGTTTGCTTTGCCATCATCCCTCTCAGGGAAAAAAAATACGAATACGTCCCACTCCGCGTCGTGGCCTGTCCCAAATACTCGTACGTGTACTCGCCCCCCCTCCCCTTTCTGTGCCTGGCCCTATCAAAAATTAATGAGTTAGTCATTTTGGTCATGAATTTATAAATTGAATAAAAAACTTCACTTCAGTTCAGTTCACTTCGCTTGGGCAAGTTGCAGCTGCCGCTTTTGGGTTTCGGTTTCGGTTTCGTTTTCGCTTTCAAAATGGTTGCCAACTCTTGGCTGATTTCTATATAAATCTATAGATTATATAGCCAAAATCAATTAATTGCCATTTGTTGTCTCTGCGAGCGTGGAGTTTAATTAGCAAACTGAAAAAAAGGTGTCTCTGGCCTGACCTTTTTTCTTTTTTATATATTTTTTTATGGCTTTAAGCAATTTGTTTTTATTTTTTATGGCTTATTTATAAGGTTTCCAGGAAGGTTTTTGTTGGTTTCTTTCAAGGATAATTTTAAATTAGTCAAAGAAACCCTCAAATTTAATAAAATATATTTTTTCAAATAAATATTTGTGTTTTATAACTTAATAAAATGTTTTTCATTTAAATTTTAGTTAAAATGGTAAAGAAAAAATATCTAAAAAATGGATTAAAATTGATTACATTTAATTAACTAATAAATAAATATTTATGTTTTATAACTTACTAAAAATAATTAATCAGTCGGAATTTAAGTTAAAAACTTATAGAAATAATAATTAAAAAATTGATTACGACGAGACTGAAGTTGTTTTTCTTTTTTTAATTTAATTAAATATAATTTTTACCGACTTTAAATAAATATTTATGTTTTATAACTTATTAAAATTAAATAAGTTTAAATTTTAGTTAAAATGGTAAAGAAAATATATTTAAAAAATTGATTACGACGAGTCTGAAGTTGTTTTCGTTTTACCTTAGTTTTATGCTTTTTTTGGGCTGCTTTGGGCCCAGTCTTTTGTTGGCATTTTGTAGCCAATATATATACATATATATATTTTGTTGTTGTGATTTTGTAGTTGGTTTTTTGTTGCTCTTTTTTAGTGATATTTTTTTTTTTGTGAGGTTTTGTTTGTCATTTGCAGCGTCACCGAGCAAAGCGCAAAACTGGAACCGAAGCCAAGCAAAGCTCAAAAATAAAGAAAACAAAACTGAAAGATAAAGTCGGACCGAAGCTCATTATTCATTTTGACAATTTAACTGATAATGATGCAATATCGATGCGAACTGACATTGAAAGGCAGCAAAACGAAGAGGAAGCCACCGGGTGTACAGTGGAAACTAACATACACTCAAAACTTGATCACTTAATTAAGCCAAAAAGGTCTTGAGTTGGGATCTTAGGGAAAAACTATACTAAACCTTGCCTGAAACGTATTTTCTTTGGGTTTACATTTAAATTTCATGCTGTAAATGTTGAATAACCTTCAGCACATTTGATCTAGATCTATTTTGCTTACGTATTTCTTGTTATTTTTTCGATATACCAAAATTGTCGATGCGATATTTACCCCACATACCTTGGGAGAACCCAACGGCCTCCAGTCCATGGGGGAGGCCGAAGGGACCCAGCGAGGGCATCGGCATGCCGGGCGGGAGTGGTCCATGGGGCACCGAATGGTGCGGATGTGGACCGCCGTAGCTGTGCGGATGGGGGCCCAGATCCCCCGACTTGAGGAAGCCCGCCGCCATCAGGGCCTCGGTGGAATGCAGCGCCACGGTGAAGCTGTGTCTTAGCGCCGCCGGTATTCCGAATAAATCTGTATTATCCCCAAGGATGATTGCTAGTGCCTAGCTCTAGCTCAAGGATATGCTATGAGATCCCTGCTGGTATTCGCTGTTGTTGATGATTGTATCTGTGAAAAGGAGGTTTAGGAGAGGTTAATTTGTATATAAAATGAAAGTATCTACAAGAATCTTAACTAAAGTGGCAGGTACAAGGAGATTTTAATATACTTTAATATAATTTATTAAGGTTTATCACAAGATTTATATAGAATTATAATATGTTTAAGGTTTATTATTGTTCTCTACATTTAATAATATAATTATATAACTCCACAAATTCGTCGCTTTTGATCCTTTGAAAAATCCCATTTAAAGTCAAAATGCTAATAAAGATTTATCGCCTTAAAAACTACTGATATTCGGTTGATAATTACAGTTACAAACTCGTCAATTATCTGTGAAATTCACGCTCTAAACCCAGATAACTGGCTGTTTGTTGTGTGGGCTAAGCTCTTGCCACGAGTTCCAATTACACTCTAAGACCGGGACTGACAAGAACGTGGACTTATAAGGCCCATGGACTTGTATATCGCCCACACAGACACTCTACTCTCTCTCTCTCTCTCTCTCTCTCTCTCCTGCGGCTTAATCCCAAGGCTGGTGGTGATGTAAAAACTTCTAATCTGGGCCGACGCTCGGGAAGATTACCCAACCGCCCAAAAATAACCTCCAAGATGCGACCCGAGGACAACCCGAGGCGATCCCCGAACCGAAGACCGAAGACCAAAGAGACTCGGTTCGGGCTTATCTTGCGGTTTAAAGATCTTTGATCTGCGCTTAGCCGCAGGATTATTTCAGACACTTACTAAAAACGGGCACACACATACACACCGATAGGGACCTGATCCAGGACAATGGGAATTAAGATTAAGCCCAGACAGAGACGGAGACAGAGGCCATAGGCTACAGGCTGGATTAAATTTTCTTTTGGGACATAACTCGGTTTCTATGCCATTTCGTGCGAAAAATAAATTAGCCAAAATATCGCCAAAGAAGAGACAGAGACAGTAGAGAGAGAGACAAAAAGAGAGGGAGAGAATCGGAGAAAGGAGAAATTTGTTGGGAGGTTAAGAGGCCAATGGCAATTGCGGTATTAGCACGAACACCGACACCTCGCATTGTTTTGAAATTGAACACGGAAACCTGGAAAGACCCGAACTACTTATTTGTCATCATCATCATCAGGGACCCTCTATCGGGGTCCTCTCGGTGTCCTCTCGGGGTATGTAAAATTTGTTTTGTTTTGTCATGTCGTTTTCATGGCTCAATGCACTCCCAAAAGAGAGAGAGAGAGAGAGAGAGAGAGAGAGAGGTGAGTGAGGTGACCGTAACCGTAACCGTAACCGAGACCCAGCATCGGGAACCCAATCCGAGTCTCTTGCCATCCCAAATTACATGCTCACGCGCACACGCAAATTAATAACACATCTGGCTTCAATTCCGAGGGATAAAGCAAGGACTCTGATTCCGATTCCGATTCCGATTTTCGGGGAGGGTTCAGTTGCTCCGTGCTCTCTCTTCTTCCAACTAAACAGAAGCTGATCAGAACTAAAGCTGTAATTGATAGTTGGCCTTGAGAGTTAAGCTTAAAAGTTGATTAATTACAATCAAAAGGGTTTCAGTATTTGATTGTTTAAGAGATATATAAGGTAAGAAGAGATTTGGTTATCTTTGGAAGATCTTAAAGTAGGAAAAAGCAAGATAATTAAGGCTAGATCATTTTTAAAAGAATTAACTATTTAAGTTTGGTTAGGTTATAAGAAAAAATATTAATTAATTTAAAGAAAAGAGAGTAAAAAAAATATATAAAAACACATTTTAAAAGAAATTTTCAAGCTAAGCCTTTAAAAAAATAATCAACTTCTAAAAACTACTATAATTCCCAACTCTTTTTTCAGTTCCACAAAAACTCTGGAATTTAATATTATAAAAATTGCAGAAAATACCTTAGCAAAGTAGTTTCATTTCTAATTAATATTAAATAATTTAATGTATTTATTATACCTACTAATTATACTTCTATCCTTCCCCTTTAACCCATAAAAAGAATTGACAATAACCCCTAGAAACTCTCAACATCTGTCAAAAACCGAGGAGTGTGTGACACATTTTCGAAGTGAAGAAGAGAGCTCTACGTGATTTTCTAGACATTTATGCCTCCTCCCTCGCTGATTATGAAAAATCATGGTAAATGGCAAAAAAGGCAACATAAAAAATAAAAACAAAATATAAAGAGAACCCCGCTGTTTTTTTTTTTCCTTTTATTTTATTTTCAAAAAGAGTTCCGAAAGCCGAAACGAGGCGAAACAAAATCATTTACGCTGGCCACATATCACGTACGATTTTTGGAGTAGATCTCTCGGATATATATATATTTCGTCTGATTTGACCAATTCTGGTTTGATTTTCACTCTCGGTTTCGATACCAATTTCCGCCTTACTTCAAACAACACACATATCAATTCGTTTGCACTCGCGTAATTACGGTCAAAATAATATTTGTTGGGTAAACAGCCGGAGGAAAACAAAATAAAGGCCACAAAGCAGAGATATCCCAGCCACGAATTGAAGAAGCTACCACAAGAAGAGCAGCTACAGCTACCGTCGAGCCCGCACATGTGTGTATACTATATCCAAGTGTTTTGGTTCGCTGATGATGTCGATGTCGATGGCAAGCAAAGTCCCTGGGAAAGTCGAGAAAAGAAATCGAACCGAACTGCCACTTGGCTACTGTTCATTTGGGCCATGGGAAGCTATTCCCCAAACCAACGAACCTCACCGTCTTTATTTCCCATGATTAATGGTCCAACTTTGCATAATATTTTTCTGGCTTTTGGCTCTGACTAATAATCGTATCTATATTTAAGTTAGTCAGTCAGTCAGCCGATGTGCCGTGTGCAGCTGTCAGGAGCGCTGGCTAGCCCGTCAGTCTATCTCTCTTTCTGGTGCTGCTACTAGTGGCTAGTCAGAGCTATTAAATGCCTTGGCCAGCTCGCCATAACAACCTAATTTGGCCGGGCACATTGCACATTTTCCACACTGTTCAGCAAGGGTATACTACAAGCTAAGGAGCTTGGAATTGGGTTCGGTGAGGTTCATCACCCAAGTTTCGGGTAGCAAAAACTATAGATTTTAATTGCTACAGTTTTTTCCTCAATAAACACATTCTAAAACACTTAGAAATCTAACTAGAAGTGTCACAGATGTATTTTGGGTTAAATAAGTATAAAATATCGTATTTTTTTGGCTAAGATAGATCTTATCTATAAGATATTGTATCTTTTTTTTACCCAGTAGTTGGATAGTATCTTAGGAGTTGGGTTTTGTGGGGATTATTACCCAAGTTTTGGGTAAAAATTATATATTTTATTATTTATTTTATTATTTACTTTAATTCCTATCGTTTTTTCCCACACTAAACACCTTCCAAAAATATTTAAAATGTTAAAGCTTGTAACTACAAATTTAAAAAGAATTATATTATTAGATATTGTATCTTTTTTAAGCTAAGATAGATCTAATCTTTAAGATATTGTATCTTTTTTAGCTAAGATATATCTAATATCTAAGATTTTGTATCTCTTTAAGCTAAGATTATCTAATCTATAAGATATTTTATCTCATTTACAGCCTTTACAAGGGCTTTTAGGTTTAATCCCAAATATTACCATAAATATATATTTCCAGATACTTTTCATTAACTTTTCGCCGTCGGGTATATAAAATACATAAAATATAATGATTTCCTTGTTTAAAAATTAAATTACATTTAGAGTTTTAAATTGAATTTTAAGCCACTTTTCTAATATTATTTTAGCTTTTGTTGAAAATCAAACCCTTTTATAAAATTCAGAAAGAAAAAATTGCAAAGACCTTGTATCTTTCAAAAAAACCTCACCTTTTTAGGACCTTCCTCTCCTAACCCAACTATATCTAGTATTTTTCATAATTTCCCTTGCCTTGCTGGCCAGTGTACACTTCACACTTGAGCATGGTTAACGCGCCATGGCAGCCGGAGAGCAGGAAAGAAACAGAAACAGAAACCGAAATGCATTTCTCAGGCTCATTTACATTGAGCCGCGGCTACTGGAATATGTGGATGCGGTCTATGGGTCTATGGCTTGGAACTAGTCCCTCCCGGTCCGAGCTGGCCCGGGCATAATAAGCTCCGCCGTCTGTCTACGTCTGCGTCTGCGTCGGAGCTCCTCGAGGGGGCAAAAAAAAATATAAGTAATGCAACTTAATAAACGCAACAAAGAACGAGAAGAGCAGCAGTCACGTCCCGTCCCACCGAAAACTGGTATCGTATCGTTTGGGCCAGGTTGTGGCTGTTACCAGTTACCCAGCTATAAGAGAGAGACTTTTGACTGGCTAGCTCGAAGAGCCATTTCTACGCAAATGCATTTTGACATTTAAATTTGCAGTTTTCGCATAAAATTATATTTATTTATTTTAGCCGTGGCCATCTCGGGTTTAGCTTTGGTGAAAATGCAGCCTTGCCGCTAGCGAGGATCGCGATTATGATTATGATTACGAACTGTGATGAGGCTGTTGATGTGGATTCCAGCTACTGACTACTGACTACTGACTACTGACTACTCTGACTTTGACGTTGACGTTGGCTGAAGTTTAATTAAGCAACGTGCCAAATAATTGAAAAAGTGTGAAGATTTGACAAGTTTAAGACGCATTAAAAAGTGCCTCCTGCATATATATATGTCTCTATTTATATATATATATATGTATATGGCCTAGAAATCAGGCAAGTCTAACTGTTTGTGGCCACTGGCGACAAGTTTTTTTAATTAGTTTTACGTAGATTCGCTTATCGCCGGCCGCACATTATTTATTATTTACCTAATCAAATTGACACTTGAGCAGCAGTTGGTGTAATTAGCAGATACGAGGCAGATTGCCTAATCAAACTAAGCCATGGCCTATAGATTAAGCCTAATCCCGGGTATAAATAGTTCTAAACTTAAAAAAAATAGAATAGAGCAAAAGAAGAGTCTTCTTTTTGGCTTATTTTCACCGAAAAAACATGAAATGTAAATGTAAAGCAAATGAATTGCATAAAAAATTGCTTATGCGGTTTTATAATTGGTTTCCCATTAAGTCAACAATTAGCGATTGGCTAGGGTTAAGCTGTAAAACGAGAAATAATACATATAATACATCATATTTAGAGAGAAGAAACGTTGGGAAAAGCAATAAATATTACAAATAGCTAATAGTTTAAGCTGTGGTATTTAAGATTAATATAATCACTCGGTTATAACTCGGTTACAGGTAAATTTTCTGCTCCACATTTTTAGAATGAAGTTCCCTTTGCAGTTTAAATAACTTTCCTAGGTCTCCTTTCATTCACAAATAAATTTCCATAAAAACTGTTTTCAATTCAACAAAAGTCTCTGGCTTTACGTAATTTTCTGCCTCTTCCCACAATTCCAATTCCAATTCCAACTACAACAATTCAACAATGAAACCTACAACAGCAGCAACAAAAAGTAGCCAGAAATGTATTCGATAAAAAAATATTGAATGAATTGCTTGTTGCGGTTGTTGTTTTGATTGTACAAATGATTGCATCATGGACAGAGTGGACCAAAAAATAAATCAATAATAGACTAATAGAGTAAAGAGCTACACCAACAACAACAACAACAACACCAACAACGAGGGCTAGAAAAACGTATTATATTTGACGCATTGTCAATGTGATCTTGATAAGTCGAAACTGGAAATGGAACCAGCAAGAAATAGTAAAAAAAATATAGATATATATAAAAAAAAGTACCTCTACCTCCGTCGTCTGAGTGATTTCTATTTAAATGGCTTTGTCAACGAAATTTGAGAAGCAACAACATCGCGTAATGAGCAAAGAGTGAAGAGAGATAAAAATTAATAATACAAATAATTGGGAGGAAAGAAAAAAAACACACACACACAAAACAAAATAAATCTAAGAAATAAAATCAAACGAAATGGAATGAAATGAAACCTCACTTAGGGCGAGGCGACGCCGCCGCCGCCAAAGATTGACAAAAGATGACGACAAAAAAATAAGAGAGAGAAAAAAAGGCAAGACACGATCTCCCAGGTACGGTTTTATCTATATATCGACTGTGTGGGAGTCAGAGTTAAAGACGTAGTCGAAGGTACACCAAATCCAAAAAGATTGGGGCGTGCTAGGGAAGCGGAACAATGGTAACCGTTTCACAGAGAGAGAAATTCCTAGGGGTTTCTATACGATTATTGCAAGAGGAACTTGTAAAGCTATTTATAATAATATTATTAAGCTAAGGTTGAAGCTTGGAAATGGGTTGATTAAAGACTTTAACTGGTTTAAATACATAAAATGACGTTTACTTTAAATATTTTATATTGGAAAACAATTATTAATTAAGTACATAAGTTAATTCCTCGAAATATTATTAATAATTTAAAAGAAGTACCCAAGTTTATAGAGTTTTTATTTTTAATACAAACAATTTATTATTATTTTGATACAGAAAACTGAATGCAATGAGCTTAAAATCACCTCTCTTATACCCCGTTAAGTACTTTGTATATTCGAATACCATTCATATTTTCTCACAGTGCAGCCTAGAGCAAAATTCACTCATTCGCTGGGGGGATATGGGCGCGATAAGGTATCAAATGTGTCGCGTAGCAATCTTGGCGACTTTCAATTCACAAACATAAGCCCTAACCCGACCCGAACTTGAGTGCTGGGCGGATGTTGTGAATGAATGAATTGGCATTGAGACATTGGGCCATTGAGGAGGCACTGAGCCATGGCGGGATCTAGGCTCTGCGTGGGCGCGCGTTCCAGTCTCCAGTCTCCAGTCTAGAGATCCCTCCTCAAAAAACCACTCTCGAAATCGAAATCGAAATCAAAATCAAACTCAAGCGCGAGAATTGGGAGAGAAAAATCGACTTGCATATTAATAACCGTATGCAAATCAATAATAATAATAATAATACAGAACAACGAAGTAGCAGCCGCAGCGGCAGCGGCGAGAAGTCAACGTTTTATTCAGATATTATAATTTATAGCCGCCGCTTTGAAATTAGACGATGATTCCGTGTGCCGGGGCCAAGAAATGTGGGGGAATATGTGTGAATAATGCGACCTGAACGGGTCGAAGACGTTGGGTCCGTCGGCTCTGCTCTATTGTATCTTTAAAAAAATGTCTAAAATTAGACTTTAGGGTTTCTTCGTCAACGCCTTGCCTTGCCCTAGCCTTTTTCCCAATCACATTTCTCGCATCCGAACGAATGTTTTGCCTAATTAAGGAGGGCGGCCTTAATATGCCCATTAAAATTATGAAAATCATAACGAATATTGGGTCTGCGGTCGGGCATTTTCTCACATTTTGTGAAACATTAGTCAGCGGAAGAATTTCAGAGTTTCCTGATCTAAAACCAAGCTGGGTTTGGTTGAAATATGGGTTACAATATAGTAAATATTAATTTTGTTAGGTTTCTCTAAGAAAAAGTCTATAGAAAGTATTGTTTAGACAAAAGTAAATTCAAGAAAAGTTTACTAAATATTTAACATGAACATATTTAATCTGAACAGGTTTTGTTAGGAAATATATAGAATTTTGAAAAATATAAAGGTAAAGCATTTAAAATGATCTTGACTTCTTTAAAGACTAATAAAGAGCAAGATTTGGGTCAAAAAACATCCTAAATGTGGCTATGGGTTTACTTATTATGCCAAAGGGAACGTTATTTAGTCCATAAGATTACCTAGTACTTTAGAAACAAAGTTTTTCAATACCAAGTACATAGTGGATGAACTAGGTTTTAAGTGTCTGTTAAAATGGAGATGAAAGGATATACCTCTACCTGACTCAAAAAGAATTCATGTATTGATATATTCCCGATTTAGAATTTAAGTTTACATTATCAAATTAGGAATTCTTTGAAATACAGTAAAAAAGAATATTAAAATATTGAAAATATAACAGGAAGTCAAGTTCTAGAAGGGAAAGTATTAACCTTAAACTTTGTCTTTGTCTTGTCTTTATGTTTTACAAACTCCTTCAGTTTTAAATTAACATTTTTATGATCAAAAAACGATATCAAGATGAAATCAAAATAAGATTAAGACACACAAAGTCAGGTAAATCCCAAATGAAACCCAGTTATCCCTTGGAAATCAACCTGCTTAAATCTATCAATTGCCGCCCCCGTCGACAAATCCAAGTATCATAATCCGCAAATCCGTGAGAGATCGGATAGATATATGATTTTACCGATATGGGGTTTTTACCGATCGATATTGATATCGCACTCACCGAAAAAAAAACACAAACAAAACTAGAAGCAAAAGCGGCGTCGTCGTCGTCGTTTAGTTATATTCCAAATGGCAACTTGTTTTAGGGATCAAGATGCACAGATCAAAATCGGGATCCAGACTCTATATCTTAATACGGTATACGGTATTCCAAAGGGGGTTTCGTTTGCGTGTTTTTGTTTTTATGCGATGTTTATTGTTTGGATTGGACTTTGTTTTGGCACTGGCAACACCATAAAAAAACAGATTCTCGGGCACTGGCACTTGGATATATCCGAGATATATGCATGGATATATCTCTTCGCTTCGATACTCCTCGGTTTGTTTCCTCTCAACTCTTTTGTTTTTCGTTATGTTATGTTTTTATGTGTGTTATGCTTTTTGTTTGTTTGTTTTTTTTTATACTGGCGTGGCGTGGTGGCGACGGCGAGTGTATCTGTGTTGTTGCTGCTGCGGCGAACGCGGCGAAAACTGACTGGGAGAGAGCGATCGAACGAACGAACGGAGCGGACGAACAATCGACGACAACACGTTGAAATTCGAAATCGAACTGCCAGAAAGCAACTGAACGAGGCAGCAGCGCAGCGAGCAGCAGAGCCGGAGCGGCAGAGCAAAAGTCGCCCGACCAGTACCCGCAAAAAAAACAACAACTACCGGTTCACTTGGCCCGGGTGGGAGAGCGCGAGCGACAGAGAGCGCTGCTTTTAGCAATGGCTGACGGTCTGCGGCCCAATTCCAGTTGCCCAGAGAGAGCGAGACAACCATACACACACACACAGGTCTGCGTTGCGCTGCCTGGGCTGCCCTGGCGGCGTGCTGGATGGGCCTTGGCACAGGACATCTCGCTCTGGCCTACGGGCTTGTGTGCTGGGCGAGAGCGAGACAACCCCCTGGTCGGGCAGCTGTATTTACCTCTGTGTTGTTGCTGCTCGCTGTGTGCGTGTTCGTTTGAGTGTGGAACCACACCCCAAAAAAGAAAAAAACAACAACAAAAATACAGTTCAACATCGTTGTTGGTACCAACACAAAAAAACGAAGGAAAATAAATAAGAAAAAATAATAATAATAAGACATAAAAAGTACCTTCGCAGCAATGAAATTTTAATGAAAACGACAAGGCAGCGAAAACAACGCAGAAATTTGTTAGCTAACAGCGAAAGATAAGAGCGAAACGCTGGACCCTACGTATTTCTTCTGCTTCTTCACCGTCGACGCAAAATTGTCATGCACACTCACACTCTCACACAAACACAGCACAGCAAGCAACGGTGTGGTGTGAGGGAGAGGCAGGAGCCACTCACTCACACAGAACGCCCCCTCTCTGTCGGCGCAATGGGCGGCCCCATTGTTCAAAAATCATTTACGCAAAACAAGAGCCAAGGTACTTGCCACGCTAGGGTTTGATTTCAAGAAAATAAAGGTATATGAATGGGGATAATCAAATTAATCAAAATTTTATAAAAGAGAATAAAAATAATTGCAACATATTTCAAAGTTTCTTAGATTTCAGAGATTCATTATTTGCAAGCTTAGAATTCGTAGGTTCCCGGTATGGGAATATTTTCCAAATATCCCTAAGAGTGAATTACATCTAGCAGCTTAACTGTAAATGATATTCGCATGTACATAGATCCGCAAGTGTGCTTGTAGCCAAAGCGACCAACAACCAATTCAGTTAATTTATTTTCCCAAACTTTTTGCATTATTTTATTTTTTATTTTTATATTTTTCTGTTTTATAGCTGACGCAGAGAAAAACGTAAAGGGGGAGGTCGGAAAAACCCTTATCAAATTTTTATGACAATTTGAAATAGCTGACGACAGTTGTTTTGCTCGCTTTTTCGCTCGCACTCACCGCTATAACGGGCGAGCGAAAATGTTGCACAAATATTTTATGGATTTTTCTTGTCAAAACTGTTTTTCTGTTATTTTTTTGCTCTCGCACTTTTCCCCATTTTGAGGCGGCCAAATTAAATTGTTGCGGCTAATTGATGTGTAGATGAAACATGAAGCAATTACCCTTGGAGGGGTACAGTTATCGCAGCTTAGCATACAATTTGGGGCCTCGAAAAGCTCGCTCTTGTTGTTGTTGGGAAACTGTGGTAAAATGATGGCAAAGAAGGGGGAGAAAGGAAAAAAAAAAGAAATTAAATTTCGTTGCCAAATGTTGCTGGAAACTTAAAAAATATTTTTTTTGAGTCATATTAAGGAAAAGAAAAGTAGGGAAATAAGTTCAATAAGGCCAATTCATAAAATTGAATGATAAGAACCTTATTTTAAAGTATTAATTATTTTTTTATTTTACCATTTTAAGTTAATAATAGTTTTTTCTACTATCTTTTAGTTATTATTATTATTTTCAAGTTGAAGAAACATAATTAATTCTGAAGATAAAACGTATTTCTATACTTTTTTATTTCTAAATAATTTGTTGGTTGTAAAATGATTATATTATTATACCTTAATGTGTAACTTACTTACATATTATACCATTTTACATATAAAATATATTATATAACTTAGATGCAACTCCGGTATACTCAAATCCCCGAGTACATTCAACTTTTCAGAACAAAAGCCTGGAGAGAACCGATTTGAAAATGAAAAAACTCAAAAGTTGAATCAAGCATATGTATGTAGGAATAGTGTGTATCCGTGGGTGATATGTTTTTTTTTTTTTTTTGCCATAATTCTCCTCTTTTTGCTCCTTTTTTCCCAGCCGCGAAAAGTTCGCCGCCATTTGCCCCAAAACATTTTTCATAGGCGACAGTTTTGATTGCTCGGCGGAAGGGGATTGCGTGTGGGCGTTCGTTCAGGTTTCCAGCTAGAAGCCAGCAGCTTGTTTTCCTTTATTTTTTTCGACTTCGAAACTCCGAAACTCTTTTTACAATTTTACCATATAGTTTTCCTTTATGTGTGTTTTTTTTTACCATTTTTGCGCATTCGTTTTTGGCCGGCTGATTAACGACAATTCGTTTGGCTGATTTTTTATTGCCCTGCACATTCATTAGCCTCTGTCGTAGGCGCGTGGCATGCCTCATGCACTGGAAAAAATGTGGGTAACTTAGGTGGAATATACTTAAAAATTAATTAGGGGAATCCTATAGTTAGATTACGAATTTTAATCATTGGAAAAGTCAATAATGTCATGGGAAAAGTGTCTTAAATATTTCAAATTTAAAGGTAGGCATACAAATACTAACAAATAAGCACTACTGTTTACTTTCTTATGTATAGTATTTAATTAATAATTTAATCATTAACACAAGCAATTATTTATACACATATCACATATATCACATATCATTTTAAATATTCCTTGAAAGTGTTAAAGAGAAACTCTCTTTCTCAAATTAAATGTGAATATAAATAAATCTAAATAAATATATTTATATAGTACCTATATATTTTGTAGTATATTTATTAAAAATTAAGTATGTTCAGGAAGCTAACTCTTTCTACTCTTTCGGGCCAATAAATTTCATTAGCCTTCAGCCGTTGCTTTTTATTGTCTTGTTTTTTTTTTTTGTGGGGGCGGTAAAAGAATTTCTGTGGCCAAATGGGGCGTGGCTGTAATAAAACAAGTAATGTAGGCATGTGGGCGTGGCACAAATAGCATGATTAAGCTTCTCGTAGCCAGGCAACACAGTCAATAAAAGTTGGCCAGAGAACTCTCTGTTCCCAAGCTTGCCTTATATATATGTTGTATACTGTACGAACACATAATATATGTTAATTGAATATAATACTGCATTTACGAATGATATATATATATATTCTTGGCGAATTTAAGCCACATAAATATATTTCAATTAATTAAAAACGCTTTAAAAAATGCCCAAAAAATATATAAAGACACATAATATTATACAATATTCAATAACCAAATTTCCCCCTACGGAATAAAATTTTTTTTAATAAATTAATCAGCAAAGAAACAAACATAAATATATTCCAGTTAATTACAACGCTTTAAAAAATGCCTTGAAAATATATTAATAATTACATAATTCTATACAATATTCATTAATAATAGTTCATTCTACTAATCAAAATTTGTTAACAAATTAATCAGCAAAGATTGAAACATCAGGTAAGTATACGTTAAAGGCCAAGTTAAAGCCAGGTTAAATCAATAAAAATTGGCAAAGAAAAAAACCAGAAGCCGCAACGAAAAAGTGGCAAGTGCAACGGATCTCGGATCCTGTTGCGGATTTGGCCTCGTCCTCGTTCCCAGTCCTCATCCCATTGCACTTTTTCCCAGTTTCATTAAGGCGAGCCGCAGGATCAATGCAATGCAGCTGGGAAGGTAGGCGGCAGCGGCGGCAGGACGCAGCGGGAAAGGGACTCAAGACCCACAGCTCAAGATCCTAGATCCGAGATCCTCTGAGGCCCTCGAGGTTTATTCGCTGTGCGTGGCCCGATGATTATAATGGCTTGCCTTTATGCTGCCTGATGGTTTTATGATGCGGTTAAGCGCTTGCAACCGCAAAGTGGCCGCGCACACGACGCACAGGACCAAAATGGCAAAGGACCAAAGTGCACTGCAAGGAAAATTGCTAAGCTAAGCAAAGACATTTGAATTTAATGTAATTTAACAATTTATGTATTTTTTTTAAATGTTAATAATTTTGTTTATATTAATTATAATTAATATTACTAGCTTAAAGAGTACTTAAATATTTCTAAAATATAATAATGGTATTTAACAATTTTTAAAGCAAAGCCCTGACTAGTAAATTTCTCTGCACAATATATTTATCTATAATTATTTTAGCCCCAACTATTTCTATGATTTTATTTATTTAAAAAAAAAAAAATCAACTAAACACTACAAACAATATCTAAGCATAATACCATTCCTCTTTCTTTTCTCTCAGTGCACTGCCCTGGACTCGACCACCGTTGCCCGGTTGAATTCGAGCAAAGGACTTTCGCGTAAGCTGCACAAGTTTTGGGTAATGCCTTGAGTACCTGTGCCGAGGAGGTGGCCCAGCGCCCTGTGACCTGACGACCTGACGACCTGACGACCTGACGACCTGAGGACCCGTCTACCCGTCGACCTGCCAGCCAGTAGCGTATCGTCTTTTTCGTATTTTTCCGCCCTCGCCTCGCGCGCGACATAGCCAAAGGATTAACCGCATGACAAAAGGATGGACCGCCAAGCAGCGCACTGCGGTTAGCAGGATAAAACGCCTTTAATCGCCTTCATTGTTGTCCCAGAGCGTGGAAACAATACAAATGCGAACGATGGCCGGACGGACGGACTGCGGCCGAGTAAGTATACGGAATTTAATCTCGGCCAGGGCTCAACCATCTCAAGCCGCATCCTCCGGCTGACCTGCAGGCGAACCTTACCAGGAGTTGGAAACACAAGGAAGGATATAGTGTTCAAATTTAATAACTATAGCAGAATTTAAGTTTTCTGTTTTAAGAAAGATTTCTATATTTTGTAAACCATTCATCTAAATAAATATAAAAATGTATTAACATACATACATAGTTCTGGCTGGAATTGCACAACACGCCCAGACATCCTTCAAGTATTTA